CAGGAGCCCCTAGTAGCGTCCTTGCTCCTAGTAGCGATGCCCTTTGCACCTAGTAGCTACTTGCTCCTAGTAGTAAGGCCAGGAGCCCCTAGTAGCGTCCTTGCTCCTAGTAGTGATGCCCATTGCTCCTCCTAGTAGTAAGGTCAGGAGCCCCTAGTAGCGTCCTTGCTCCTAGTAGCGATGCCCTTTGCTCCTAGTAGCTACTTGCTCCTAGTAGTAAGGTCAGGAGCCCCTAGTAGCGTCCTTGCGCCTAGTAGCGATGCCCTTTGCTCCTAGTAGCTACTTGCTACTAGTAGTAAGGCCAGGAGCCCCTAGTAGCGTCCTTGCTCCTAGTAGCGATGCCCTTTGCTCCTCCTAGTAGTAAGGTCAGGAGCCCCTAGTAGCGTCCTTGCTCCTAGTAGCGATGCCCTTTGCTCCTAGTAGCTACTTGCTCCTAGTAGTAAGGCCAGGAGCCCCTAGTAGAGTCCTTGCTCCTAGTAGCGATGCTGATGCCCTTTGCTCCTTGTAGCTACTTGCTCTTAGCAGTAAGGCCAGGAGCCCCTAGTAGCCTCCTCTTGCTCCTAATAGAACACAGGTTCCGACAACGCTTTCGGGGATTGGTCGACCGAAGAAGAAGGGAGCCCATTCTCCACCCGCGAACAGGAAGAACAGAGGCTCCGATCTCCAAGCGGAAAGCGATCTCTAATTGGATTGCGGAAATAGCCTTTCACGTGGACTGCCACAATACCGGCCGCTTTCCATACTTGGCCAATCTCAACATGAAATCCCGCTAGTGTTCCAAAACGACTCCTATCGGTTGAGCTACTCTTCGAAAATGCTATGTAGAGGAGGTCCCAATCTTCCTGCAAAAAAGAACAGAAATACACGGCAACGTGCTAGCGGGGCGAACCAAATGAGATCTTCTCCACCCAGTTCTCAGACCATGAATCCGTGCCCTGCTCAGACAGAAGCTACTAGGTGGCCATCGCTAGTAGGTTGGAGGCCATCGCTAGCAAAAAAAGGCTACTAGTAGCTCCTGGCGTTACTACTGTACTAGGAACCAGGTTCGCTACTAGGAACAAAGGGCATCGCTACGAACGGAGACAAGGAAGCTACTAGTAACTAGTAGCTCCTGTATGCGACCTGTTTCATGTCGTATGTTTTCCCTCAACGAACGACCTGAAAACCTTTTTCGATCCATCGAGCCACCGCGCCATAGACCGGGAGCGATGCGCCATACACACGGCCCTGTGCCCGCTGTGCCCACCAGAGCTGCTCCACTGGGATCGGTGCCTTCAGCAGCGCCAGGAAGTCACGGCTCTGGAGCGGGATCTTCGGCAGCTCCTGGAGCGGTCACTCGCCCCTTTTCTGGCGAAAATAGGGCGTGAGGTGAGTTTTGGGCGTGAGGAGATGTGGGTTTTGATGTTAACATGATTCCTGTACTATGGCGTGTTTGGCCACAGTGCCCTCAAAGTACTGGTCTCAGAGGTCTCAGACCGAAGCGTCTTGGGTTGTCTCCGCACCCTTTCTTCGGGTACAAAAGGCACGAGTTCCGAAGGACAAGGATTTGTTCATGTGTTCCCTCAAGGCGAGCGATATGATGCCAGTTTGCGCATGTGTGAGAGTAGACCGAAATTCCTTATGACCTCCCCATTCGTACCTTCTAGTGGTGTTCTGTTGTGCTGGAAACACCGCTTCCGCCTCCAAAGCACTCTGCCAACGATGCACGGCCAGTGCTGCCAGCGGCCCAGCGCCAGGGCACCGTCGATAGCAAATTAGGCCCAGAGCCCAAGCACTGGCCATTCCCACCTCGTGCATGTCTTGCATGGTCTATCTTGGAACGCCACATCATGCACAGGATAGATGTTTATCAAGCTATGCGCCGTGCAGTACATCTAAGTTGGTGCATGGAACTGAAATGCGCTGACCCGGTTGAACCCAGTTGATCCAGTTGACCCGATTGACTTTGTGTGATGGTAGTGGTAGTCGTAGTGGTAGTGGTAGTCGTAGTGCTAGTGGCAGTGGTCGTCGTCGCCGCCGCCATCGTCGTGGTGGTGGTGGTGATGGTGGTGGTGGTGGTTCGTCAGGGTCAACTGGGTCAACTGGGTCAACTGGGTCCTCGTGGCCCCTAGTAGCGTCCTTGCTCCTAGTAGCGATGCCAGGAGCCCCTAGTAGCTTCTTGTTACTAGTAGCTACTTGCTCCTAATAGTACGGCCAGGAGCCCCTAGTAGCGTCCTTGTGGCCCCCTGTGCTGTCGCAATGTGAAATTTGGATGTAGCTGAGCCACCCGACCATTTGAATCGACGCGCGCACAGCCTCAGCCCCGCCACCTTTCATCAGCTCCAATCCTCGACCTCAGGGGCGTGCCAATGAGTGATGAAAGGAGAGGCAGAAGATGTGAAGCACTAGATTTATCAACACATGCTCTTCAAAACAGGAAGGACTAGGCGACTAGGGGATACTTGATTGAGCAACTAGGACAAGTGTGCCCGTGTGAAGTCCAAGGACCCTTGCCATAGGGAGAGGCCTCCCCGTGCGTTTTTCTTGGCGAAGACTGGCTCAAAAAGGCACGAGGCAATCGTTTCACTTCGTCTCAGGTCTAAGATCTTCCCTGACTCAGCCTCCCACGCCAAGCATCGGCTTCCCGTTGAGAAGACAACAAAGTGGTTCCTGGGCAACGCCGCAACTTTCAAGGATCAAATAGATGATCCCATGAGTCAATGTGTTCAATGATGTCCGTGAGTCAGATTGCCTCCTCTCCAAGAGTCAGAGTTCCCCTGTGATCTTCACAGACATTCACAGACTCCCTTGACCAATAGCACTGCCTCCCGTGCACCTCCGTTCAGGGGGACTGAAGAGTGCACCATGACCATTCGCTCAAGCATCGAGTAAAGTCATCCAACTCCAAGCCGTTCGCCCGCAGCTGCGCGCATTGTCCAAGAGCTTCAGGCCAACCTTGGTCAAGCAAAGCCCTCGCGCAAAGCGCTTGAAGGATGAAAAAGGATCCTGGGCTCAAGGGATGAAAAAGTGGTGGGTTGCGAGTTGCATGTGCAATCAATATTTAGAAATACTTCACACTCATGTGTTGCTTCTCCCAAGGATCTGTCTTGTGCAGCTGTCAAGACACCAGGACTCCGGAGAACTACTACGGGCAGAGACGACATGTTCAAACCATAGACTCAGTGTGGACAAGAGAAATCAACTACCCGTCCATGAAAATCCAAGGTCATTGAACTTGGGGGGATATGGTTCTTTTTTCCCATAAGTTCAGTCAGTGACAGAGTTGGATATCTTGTCCACCTACTGTTGCTTCGTATGTAATCAATGGATTTGGACAAAGTAGAAGACAACCTGTTACCACACAACCTGACCATTTGGTGGATAGAGTTGGCAAATTTGAAGAAAAAGTAGGCTTGCTGGAAGGTCCCTTGCAAATCTAGCGGTTTTTGCCTAGTGTTCAATGGGTCCACTTCCACTCAACCAGCACTTCATGCTTTGGGGGAGGAACGAGCAGAGTCGACCAAGGCAGAGATGAGAATGTTGTAGGTCTGCACACCTGATGCAAAAGCACCCGGTCAGGATTTGGAAACATTGATGTTCACTTTCTTTCTGTGTGATGCATGATTGTACCATCCGATTTCTTTTCTCCAATAAAGACCATCGGTCCTCCGCTGCGCCCGACCACTGAAACGTCCACGTGCCGAAAAGAAAGCTGTGCGACTCTTCATCCGAACCAACGATCCCCACCGGAGAATCCGCTGTGACCGGTTTCGCCCAACCGCTCTCCGACCCGGAGACCGTCCCTTCCGTGACGGCCCGACGGCCACATCGGCCTATCTGTATGGAGTTGCGCGAGAGCTGTCCCAAGAACTCTGAAGCCTTGGAGATCTGTGAGCCTGCGAGAAGGACAGTCGAAGGCACAGGGTGGAGTCGGAATGACCTCAAAGATCTGAGGCGTTTAGGGGTCGAAGTCACCGGCAAAGGACAAGGAGCGTTTTGTTGAGAACTGCTTTAATCATCTTTAACCCATTCGACATCTGCAGCTACCTCAGCTACCTTTTGATTGCCAGTATCAACACAACTGCTAACGCAAGGAGGCCTCTCTTCAGGGCTGACATCATCACTCCAGAGGAGACATGATCCTCAGGAAGAATTGATAACTTCAGAATGAATCCCGATGGATTGACTCCAAGTCTGGCAGTGGCAGTATTTACTATTTACTATGATTTACATCACACACCCTCATGATAGTATCGCTGGTAATTGCTCACTGGTGCACTCGTCCAGCACAAGAATTATACACATGTTCAGTAGGAGTGTGCTGCAAAAGGAGGAGATTGCCGATCACGGAAAGCAAAGTCAGTTTGGCAACTTGTAGTGCGTTGCTGACAGCACTTGCAACCAGAATCAAAACTGTCTTGAAAACTTGAGGCCATTCCTAGTAGGTTGGAGGCCATCTGCACTCATGCTGTTTTGGCAACGCCAACAAGTCGCCAGCTGGACTCGGCATCTCACAGGCAAAGCTAAAATCTCCAGCGCCCAGGCCCACAATCTGCTCTTCCCGCCACTCTTCGCACAGGCTGCTGCCGCCGCATTGTAGACAGTCGTATCCTTTGTTCTGGCTGAAGAATGACGTGCATGAATCTCTTCTAAGAGTGTTCTGGCTGAGGCTTAACCACTGTCCAAAGCTGATTGAGACACTATGAGACCAACAAAGCAGGCGTGCCCACCTCTCCGCCTCCAAGACACTGCGGAGAGGTATGGAGCAGATTCCAATGCGATTAAGGCGGCCAACGTCTTTGGCCACTGCTGAACACGGCCATAACTGGCCAACAGCTTGGTGAAGTCCACTAAATCGGCCTCGGTTTGGCAATCCGAAAGTTGGGTCGTCAATACTCGATGTCCGAAAAGGTGTTCTCGAGCCAAGCCACTTGCCCATGCTGCACCTGCTGCAGCAGCCGTGAGATCTCCATGCACCATGGCCACCACCGGCCGTGGCCACTCGTGACGCAACGTGGCTCCCGGTGGCTACGAAACCAAATGGCAACGGTATGCAAAGCCACAGAAAAGGCACCCAAAGCACCCAAGAACTGTCCAAAATCACACGAATGACGCGATGTTGAAACAATCGCACCGCTCTCATCCACTCTCAAAGAAAACTGTTTGGCTGGCGCTCGCTGTCGCAGTGCGGTTTTGCACATGGCCTGCAAAGGCAACGGCAAAGGTCCCTGAAAACCATTGAAAACTAGAAAAATCTTCAGCTAGCTGAATGATACTGATAATCTCTGGAAAAGCCTGACAGCACGTTTGAACAAATGCGAAGAGTGATGAAAAGTGGAGTCCGTCATCCGCGTTTGGTGTCTCACCACTCAGAGTTGACCCGTCGCACCTGCGAAGAAGCCAGGTCCCCACCGATGGCAGCGCATGCCACGTGGGCGTCGCAGGCGTCGCAGGCGTCGCAGGCGTCGCAGGCGTGTGCTGCGGTGGATCGCGCTGCGTCGGTGCACGCTGTGCGATGGGAGAGAAACTGAGAAGGCGCTCCTGAGCGATGCTCATGGCCACTTCAAATTCCAAGGAAGGCCTCAGCAATCGATTCGGAACCCCTCTGAGTTCATCTCGTATAGAGTCCACATGACATGGACCATGAAACGAATGCACGGATTTCTGAATGTGTACTGAGCTTCACCTTCACGGCAGAGAGCTTGCTATATCTACAGTATAGTACCCTCATATTTGCGGCAGACCGAACACCCCAGTTTTTCGAACTTGTGTCCAAGTATCTCCCGACTGGCACCCACCCATGGTGACAAGACCTTGGCCACCGGGAGCTCTTCAGTCTCGCCCTCACAAGCACGACACGCAGAAGTGAGGCCCAGCATGCTCAACACACCCTCGGCCATGGAGTGGAAGCCGAACTGCTTCAGGGAACAGCCTAGAGGCCAAACAAGAGAAGAGAAGGCATGAAAGGCGAAAAGCCAAGCATGCACCATGCCAAAACTGCGCATAAACCCTGATCATCAATGCTATGGCGAAAGTAGCTAAGCCCAGTTTAATCGATACAGGTGTCTATGCATGTTGGTGCCACGACAGAAGTGCACGTGTGTTGTTGGCAAAGAATGGCTCCAGGTCAATTGTGCACCCCACCAAGATTGGGACATGTACTTGCATGGGCATGCTGCTGAATCATACTTGTTATGTACGGATGTAATATGTGATATCATGATAGATGAAGGCAAAACCAAATATGCAGAACTAGCGAAAAGTAGCGATGAAGCACTGGCAAAAGCTGCTGACTGGCACAAGCTCCCCCTAGGAACAAGAAGCTACTAGGAGCAAAGGGCATCGCTACTAGGAGCAAGGACGCTACTAGGGGCTCCTCGCCTTACTACTAGGAGCAAGAAGCTACTAGTGGAATCACATCTGAGGCACGGAGGTCGTTGCCCTCACTGGAGCCACAGAGGGAGCTATTGCGCGGGAGTCGACCAACACCTAAGGCTTCGCAGAGCGTGTCGCCGAAGTCCAAACTGTTGTTGTGGACCAAGTTGTATTCCTTGCAGTGGCGAAACTTCGAGAAGGTGGCATGATGCTGCTGTTGCAAGAGTGTTTTCGAGCACAAACCTCTTGAAGCGGCTTTCTTGAAGGGACAGCGTGGCCAACTCAACCAAAAGGGAAATCCTTGAAAAAAGAATCAGCTGGATTATGTGTGTCTACTTGATGGACGCAAAAAATGGTGGAGAACCACCATGTTCCCTGTCCAGCTTCAGCGCCCCTCCACGATCTGGACATCTTCGTGATCATCTGGAGAACCTCCTGTCGCTACGCGAGCCTCGCCTCGCCACACCAACAAGACGCGATCGGTACTGAAGCCTCGTCTGGATCGGAAGCCTTGATCGGTTCCTTTGCATTCCTTTGCTATTTATTAGGAAGCTACTAGGAACAAGTGCATCGCTACTAGGAGCAAGGTGCCTTACTAGTAACAAGAAGCTACTAGGACCTTTGCTATTTAGCTTGGAGGCCGCAATTCGCTTCCTGCCACTCACCTGCGGACTTCGGTTGGAGGCCCGACGGCGCTCGAGCGACCGTCCTGCTCGGAGAGGCGACATGGACCCATCTCCAGGGTGGCCCGATACACGCGCCCCTCGCAGCGCCGAGGTTCACCTGAGTGGACTCGTCGGACTCGGACGAAACCTACAGGACTCGAGAGAGACCGGAGGACTCGTTTCGAGAGCTTGACAGATTTGATGCTTCCGTAATGTGGTCCTCTGATTCATAAACGCCCCTAGAATCATGTAGTGTTTTCCCCTGCACTGATTAATAAAGGCCCCCAGAATAATGTCTTTCTTTTTTTTGGCAGGGATAGTTGTAGTGGAATATGTTTAATTGTTATAGTTTACTTTTTCCCTTTTGAGTTTGCTGGAATTTGCTTATCTTGCAGGCTTTTGGATGGAGATTTCTATTAAACATTTGAAGATGTCCATTGAGATTTGATGCTTTTGGAGGCTTTTGGATGGAGATTTCTATTCAAACTTTAGAGATTTCCATTGAGATTGCATGCTTTTGGAGGCTTTACTTACCTAAGCTCTTTAGTCTTTAAGCTTTCCAAAACTTTCCAAAAGTCAGTGCACACTTTCTTTACAAAATCCCTTATTCAAAAGTATTGAAAACACAAACAAAAAAATCATTCAGGCAAACGGGGTAGTCCAGCAAGCAGCTTTCTGACATTATTTAGGGGGGGGGCCTAGAATAATGTCTAGAGATTTCAGGCTTCAAAAAGTATGTTGCTTTAAGTAAACGTGTATTCATTCCCTTTCTTTTCCTTTTGATTTGCTTTACTTACCTAAGCTCTTTAGTCTTTAAGCTTTCCAAAAGTGTCCAAAAGTCAGTGCACACTTTCTTTACAAAACCCTTATTCAAACGTATTGGATGCTTTTGAAGGTCTTTGGATTCAGATGTCCATTAAAATATTGAGAATTCCATGTCAACTTTTTTGATTTCCTTTTATTTTAGTATTCCAGATGTCTTCAATTTGAGATTTAATTGATTCCCTTTATGTTTAATATTGCCAGAGAAGGCCAAGAAGATTTTAAAAAGGATTCTAATTGTGTTTGTCCTTTGATTAGTTTTCTTGTAGATTATATTGGAGGCCCTGGTTGTGGAGGGGGGGGGCCGGGGGGGGATAATTAATCAAGGGACTACATTAGTTGACCCGAAATGAATCATGCCACAAGTGCACTGTACGTCTCCAGCTGCAGTTTGGACACCTGTGGTGCAAGTTAGTTCACAGGAACAATGGCATCCTGACCCCAGGGAGGCCGTATGATGCCATGCTACAAAGTAAGCGATGTCTCCGCAAGAGACCGTTGTGGTTTAGCTGCCTGGTTCCCAGGTTCCCCTGTGTCATGTGCCACTTGCATCTGAAGCACATTCGGAGATGCCGGTGACATCCTCCTCAGTGAAATGATAGCCCCACTCGCGGCCATAGATCTCGATTCCTGGCCAAGACTGATACTTAACTCCTGATTATCGAAAATGAATCTGAATGAATCTGAGCAATTCGAGTCCGAAGGGATTCACCCTTGATGTACATCATTACAACCCTCTTGGCGTTTTCAGCTAGTTTCTCATAGTTTCTCTATTTCTTCTTTTGTCGCACTGGTCTTGCAGACCGGAGATGCACCGCTACTCGGGTGGGCGAAGATCCTGCAAGCGTTTTGGAAGTTTGGGCTGGGGCTCGTTGTGTTTTGGGGGAAACATGGAGAGTGCGGAGAGTGCTGAGAATATGGAGAAACAGGTCTCTTCGATGGTCTCTGGTGACTTCAGGTGACTGGTGGGCGAACTAGTCATGGTTTGATCACACGGATCAGACGTCACGTGTCTCTTTTTCTCAAGATCAGACGTCTGATCGGGTCTGGCTGTGCGAACCATCGAGGCTGTACACGTCAAGCCCTCAAGCCCAAAGGGCGCTGCATGGAGCTGTATCTCTGAGACAAATTCTGCTAGTTTGGGCACGAAGAGAATCTAGCCGGTTAGTAGTTCTTGCCAACATGAACAGAACAGAATCCTTAGCCCACAAGCCTATGACGATTTCTTGCCAGGGAGAGATTGTCTGGAACACTCTCTCTTTACATTCGTCAGAGAACCCTGGCTATACTCTTAACATCTCTTAACAAATGTCTGAACCTCTGACATTCTCGGCTTCCTTTACCAGCAGTTCCAAAACACACGGGGAGAGACCAATAGACTCAGCTTGAAAGTTGAAACCCGCTGGATCTTCTTTGGGGATCTTTGGGGTCTTGCGGAAACGGGTATAGGCTCAAACTCTGCTCGCCTTCGTGAAGGCTTACTTATGGATCACCTCACCCTGGGAAAAACGTCATCATTCACAGCGTTTGCCATGCAGTGTATTCCATGCCTGGTGCCCGGCACCATTAGGAACCAGGCACCGAGTCAGGCTGGAAATGATACGGCACGAATTTTGAAATGCCCAAATGGCCCAATGCCCATCAAACAATCAGCCAGTGTGCCCTCACAGGCGGCCATGAATGATTCAGGCATCGTGGCACGATGCACAGGTTGCCTCCTGTGGTCTAGGCCGATCCAAGTACTGAATGTAATAAACCGGTCCATCAGCAGCTTCTAGAATCATCTCACTTGTCTGACAACATGTCCTCTAAGGGGTTACAACATGTTACAACCTTCTGTCAGTTGCTAAATTAAATCTCCAGCAGGTGGTGAGCCTGTCGCGCCCAAGCAGCAAAACTTGGACACTGATGTTGGAAGGTGCGTGTGTGCAACCAGTGGACCAATCATGCCCAACGATCACAGAAAGAGTCCACAAGGACTTGTTGCTGCATAGCATTGACCTGGTATTGCCACCTGTGTATGACGTCGTTGCATTATCACTCTCCCCTGCTGCATGCAATATCCACTGATCCAGTTCGTGTGCAACACAGCATGATCGAGAAACAACATCTTCACGATGCCTTAAAGTGTGCAAACCAGGAAAATGTTGTTGTCAGACATCGATTGCTTTCGAATGGCAAGGGGACCCTCAACAATGTCCCTATTTGTCTATTTCTGGCTGAGCAAGTGAAAAACATGTAAATGAAGTCAAGAAAGAAAGGCCAGAAAAGCTCAGTGTTTGACAACAAGAAAGCTGGCAACCCATGCCAATCTTGAAACAATCTGCAGGAGAAAAAAGTCCCCGCTGCCTGAGCAAATCATTTCGCAAAGAGCAACCGTGTTCGCCGGTAGAACATCTCAACAAACCCGGTTTGGTTGGGCAAATGCCCCGCACTCCAACCCCAGAGTTTTGGCCCAGAGTGTTGGTTGAAGGGCCTGCACTTGCATTGTGGTGCACTTGAAGGGCCTGCCACCGAATTTAAGGTCTGCGCCAGTGTCCACTGCACCCCCAAAGCAGCCACAGGAGTCTTGTCCAACGCTGCTGGGTATTGGCATGCAGTGGTATCAAACAGCGCAAGCTTGCAGCGAAAAGCACGTCCAGCTGTAGGTTTTGAGACGTTTCGCACTACACTCCAAAGTTGAACGAGTGGTTCTATTGTAGTCTTAGGCACAAATGATGTGAGTGCAGCCAAAAGGCTTGGATCAAAACTTTGTAGTCTTGAAAGCCTGTCGGGCATAAAAACAACCTGCTTACTTGATTGGCTATACAGCTGCTGAAACCTTATGGATTTGTGGAAACTTCGGTATCAACTGCACCCAGTCATCAAAAGCTCGGAGATCCGAGTGAACGACGATTCGTCAAATGCAAAAGGATCAGACATCAAACCTACAGGCTACCTCCAAGACTAAGCTTTAAAGTTTATGTGCAGCGCAATCTAGCATCTGCAAAACAACAGCCTTGACGGGAGCCATGCCATACCAAGTGTGCATAGTCGCCGTAAGCCACAAAACGTGCCAAATATGTTGTGCCGACGCCTTGCCTTTCTTTTGGAGTAACAATGGAACCATTGGAACAACATGAATCCTTTTGATTCATACTGAAGTACAATTTGTCAACTTGGTCGAACAAATGCCGGAAACTCCAGCACCTTCGCTCCCAAAAAGAGAGGCAAACTCAATCTCGAGGTGAAGTTCCCCACAATTCTTTCTGCCGGACCTTGTGGACAAGCAGCTTCCACTGAATCTCGTGGTCTAGTTGGCCAGGGTGCTTCTCAAGCACTCTCAAATACCTGGCATAGCCGATTGCTCTGCATGTCTCTGCATGAAAGTGAAAGGCTAGTTTTGGTGGACTGAGACATCCAATTTTGGGCCACGAATGCATCCCAAGCACCGGTCCATCTTCGACACGTGGTGTTCCTGGCCGAGTCCACACTGCAAAACCCACAACACTGGCCGGGTTCACCTTTCTTCACCACCTCCCGTCCCGATTTGTCTAAGCAAAAACCCATGGTTTGACCGGTGTGGCCGATCGTTGACCGGTGTTTCTGGTCGGAGCTGCTCGTGCGAAAACCCGCCAAGTCTCGTGCGTCTCCCGATTGGGCGGCTGTGGAGGACCAGCAATGGTCGTCATGGTCCAACTGTTGAGGCTCGGCAGCTTTGACATCTCCTCCTCCTTCGCCGAACGGTGGCCAAGCGGCGAGCGAAGGAACTCAGAGCGGACTCGCCCTGCGGACTCGCCCTGTGGTTAGTTATGCATGCAATTGCATGCAGTTAGTTCTACGTGTTTGGTTCTGGTGATGGCGCTTTCAGTCAGAGTTTGCAGAGACCGTGTGAACCGGAAGACCATAGGATGGCTATCATTGGAGGTCAAGGCAAATGGTCTTTACATCTGTACTAGTACCTGCCACGCTGGGTAGCCCTCACATGTTCAGGGCTTCTGATCTTCGATAGAACTTTGAAAGATCTATATAGGGTTTGATTTTTGCTAGCTGCTAGTGGTCCGGGCAGGATGCTAGGAGGATCTCAGAGGCATCAGGCCTCTGTCCAAGACATCCTTGAAGGCAAATGACATGATGCCAATGGTCAAGTGAGACAACATGAGATAAGGTGCTTCCGGCTCCTCCACAGAGCCGCTTTTTTCATCCTCCCGCGTCAGTGTTTTGGCTGCTCTGGTTCGTCCAGTTGCCTGGCTGTTCAGGTGATGTCAGATGGTCGCATGAAGTGCACCACCATTCCCTGGAGTGGTTTCTTCAGATGCGCACCAGCAGGTCCTAGAACTGTCAACGCCTTGGAAATTCCTTTGGAGTCGGCGGCGTCGTTTTTTCATCTTCCGACGAAACTGCTCTGAATGGCCATAATCAGTCTTCGCTGGCGTGTTTCCACTCCAAATGATGACAGAGTCAGGAAACCTCAACGGGAAACCTGGACTGGAACTATTGAACATTGAAACTTTGAGTGAGGGCAGAAGGGGCTTTCCCTTTTTTCAGGTACTTTTCGTCACGAAAACGTGTAGAAAGTCCGTCCCCCGCGTGGAGATGGACCTTCTTCGACCTTTCAGTCCGGGGAAACGAATGGAGACGGGAGAAACGTAGACTGAAACGGTCACGACCGGGGGGGAGGAGGTGCGGAAAGTTCCAACGGCAAGGAGGCAGGTGTTAGGGGCAGAAGGGGAGTGAAACGGACCCCAGGGAAAGCTTTTTTAGAAGTCAGGCCCCAAACAAACCCAGCCCAGATGTGAAGCCGAAGAAGACACCCATTAAACCCTGAAGGAGTGACACAGTGTCAGCCCTGAACCAAGCCCGAAGAGCCCTATTTTCCCTGAAAGGCAAGAGTCGTGAAGCCCAAACGACCAAGGTTTCCATTCGCCTCCAAAATGTCGAGACGTGACATCTCATCAAAATCCTGAACATCGTAGGCCTCCGATCGTAGGTGGAATTCGTCGTTCTCACTCCAAACTCGGAGTTTCAGGGTGTTTAAGGTCGCAGGGCCCAGGGCAATGAGAAGATGACACCTATAGCCTATAGAGAGACTTCAACTCACATCTAAAACAAGGTGTACTTAACTTGGCTCAACGCCAGCTTCTACAAGATTCAGATAGATTCAGTCTGCGGCAGAAGGCCAACTCGCAACATCTCGCAACCAAGCACAAAATGCCACGGCAACTGTCGAGTGTGACTTGCGGATGTCACGTCACATGATCCCCAGCTAACTTGAGAGCACCAATCCCGGCCAAACATTGGAGCCTGCACCCTGGCGCTACCACCACAGCCCATGACAGCAGCTGGACACCCTCGAGGTTCTTCGAGCCGAGATTAGCTCCAGAAGTTGTCAATTCCCATCCTTTCTCTCCTATAGTCAGACAATGTTTCCCAGCTGGTGGATGCATGATCTCACCCTGGAAAAAAACAAACATCAAATGAAAAGCCCTTGTGCACAACCAAAGTTTCCGCAGATCGCTTTCTGCTTCAGAAAGGGATAGTTCCTTAGAGATCTGAGGTGCATCCACACAATTCCAACGCTGAAATCACTTCGGGATCACCTTGGGATCCTGGCATGATAAATACCGGACTGGCGCCGGTGCAGTGTCGCCTGCATAAGAATCCTTGAGTAGTCGTTGGATGGCACAACGGCGCAATGTACTCAGCTCCGGCTCTGCCTGGGCGGGACTGCGAAGGAACCGTGAACCGCACTCGGTGTCAAACAATCAACTTACCAAAATCGGAGCGCCCGGCATCTCGTCTTTACTGCCTATCTTAAAGTCTGTACCTGTCCATTAAATCAATGCATGTGATTGTTTGAAAGCCTCGATGGTGGCTCAGGATGGTTAGATCAACAAACCAGTCTAACCATCCCAAGCTTCGCGTCTCCAGACAGCTTCAAGGTGCACTGTCGTAGATGTTCACCAAAACCTCCTGCCAGGCACCCAGATTCAGTGCCCACAGTATCTCGCAACTTGGCGCTTTGAATCTTCAGTCTCTCTTGGCTTTTGCTCACATGCTAGTACATCCAGAAACTACACCCGTTTAGGCGAATCATAAGCCTGAAGGTTTCGAAGTTGATGCTCTCATCCCTGGCATTCAACAGGATGGCTGGCGCCTGTGGAGACAGCTTCTCCAGTTCTAAGGGCTCTCCTCCCAGGCTACCTGAGAAGAGAACACGAACGGCGTCAGTCAACCTCCGAGATCTCCCAGTTATTTGTTCAAAACGAAGAGAACCTGGAAAGAATCGTTCCATGTTGATAAATTTTCCCTCAAGAGCTTGGGGGTATTCTTATTCTGGGTTAATTTAAAGTGGGCTGTTGATGTTCGTTGGACTTCAAGCCTTAAATTGTTTGCTTGCCAAAACTCAAGCCACCAAACCGCTATGACACAACGTGCATCCACAGCGTGCCAACGTGAACAAATTGGGGCCAGTCCTCGAGTGAAAAATGGACAAAAGGAAACAAGAGTTCGGCAGTAGTTGAGCTGGAAGCAAAAAGAGTTCGCTGTGACAGGAGATCTAGCCGCTGACAGCTAAATCACCAATCTTCAAATATCAACTAAAAGAAGCCTGAGAAGGTGGGGACGAAAGCCAGCAGCCGCCAGACGAGTGTCTCTTTTTCTGGCGGGCGTCGCGGCACAAGACACAGGTCGGCAGCTTGCGAGCCAGCGGTGCCGCGGATGCGGGGGGGGCATGTAATGGTGATGGAGGGAGCAGAGAACGGCTTTGGGATAAGTTTGGTATGAAAGAAGTAGTGAAAGAGAAATGCGATACGTTGAGTGTTGGTGTAGGTCATCATCACAAGGCAATGGCATGTGTTTGTCACATGCAGGAAGGTATGCATCTTTTGGAAGTTGGAAAGTGACATCAGCGTGGCTCGATCCAAAACACAATCTGTTTCCTTTAAAGGGGCCTTCATTAAACGATCCAAACACATGCTTTATTCTTCTCTTTCTTATCAACTCTGCGCCTTTCTCACTCAGAGGCCTTGACTTTGGCACCTGCGTGTGTAGATCTTTGGGCCGTGGACCCAGGCTGACTGGATTCAGCGGGGGCTGCCAGCAGAAAGGCGACGTCATGAGTCAGTAGTATATAGAATCTATTTATCTATCTCTCTATCTCTTTATCTCTATCGCTATCTCTATCTCTATCTATCTATCTATCTATCTGCACCGGCAAGCCGGAAAAACGTTCGGTGCACGTGAACGCCGCGAGAAGCATCCGTTCGACCGAGGAAACGGTACCAGTATAGTAGGGGGTTGTCCTGGGAACGCGTCTTCCCCCCCCCCCACACCCCCTTAACTCACTTCGTTTGCTCTAAAAGCTCAAGCCTAGCCTATCGCCTAGGGGCTCCTGGCATCGCTACTAGGAGCAAGGACGCTACTCCATCAAAAGCAGATGCTGGCATCCACCAAGCGGCCGTTCCGTCCGCCGGGCGCCGCACCTGCTGAGGCGCGCCGTTGCGCGCCGCGAGCGGACAAGTGGCGGGAAGGCATGCTCCGGGCGCCGGAAGTTGCAGTGTTTTTCTTTTTCTGCGAAAAGAAACCCAAAGCATTTTGAAAAGAAATACAAAGAGCTCACGCAAGGAATCTTTGCTGTTCTTTTTTCGGGGAAAAAATGTGTCGGAAGTAGCCTTGCAGGAAACTTGCCTGAAAATGCAAACTCGCTCCTATGAGGAATGATACTTTGGTTTATCTTGGCTGGATCCCACCGCTTGTTGCTACACATTGCGGCGAATTTGTTCGACTGCATGATAAAGCATGAACTGGTGTTTGCTCTCAGGCCAACAAGCCCAGGGGACTCCTAGGAAGACACGAAGCCACGCTCATGAAGTCATGTCTCCTTATCTTCTCCTTCCTGGCTCGCCACCGACCGAGAGTAGCTTCTTGTTCCTAGTAGCAAGGATGCTCCTAGTAGTAAGGCCAGGAGCCCCTAGTAGCGTCCTTGCTCCTAGTAGCGATGCCCTTTGCTCCTAGTAGCTTCCTAGTAAGGCCAGGAGCCCCTAGTAGCGTCCTTGCTCCTAGTAGCAATGCCCTTTCCTTCTAGTAGCGTGCTTGCTCCCAGTAGTAAGGCCAGGAGCCCCTAGCAGCGTCCTTGCTCCAAGTAGCGATGCTCTTTGCTCCTAGTAGCTTCTTGTTCCTAGTAAGGCCAGGAGCCCCTAGTAGCGTCCTTGCTCCTAGTAGCGGTGCCCTTTGCTCCTAGTAGCGTCCTTGCTCCTAGTAGTAAGGCGAGGAGCCCCTAGTAGCGTCCTTGCTCCTAGTAGCGATGCCCTTTGCTCCTAGTAGCGTCCTTGCTCCTAGTAGTAAGGCCAGGAGCCCCTAGTAGTCCTTGCTCCTAGTAGCGATGCCCTTTGCTCCTAGTAGCGATGCCCTTTGCTCCTAGTAGTAAGGCCAGGAGCCCCTAGTAGCGTCCTTGCTCCTACTAGCGATGCCCATTGCTCCTCCTAGTAGTAAGGTCAGGAGCCCCTAGTAGCGTCCTTGCTCCTAGTAGCGATGCCCTTTGCTCCTAGTAGCGATGCCCTTTGCGCCTAGTAGCGATGCCCTTTGCTCCTAGTAGTAAGGCCAGGAGCCCCTAGTAGCGTCCTTGCTCCTAGTAGCGATGCCCTTTGCTCCTAGTAGCTACTTGCTCCTAGTAGTAAGGCGAGGAGCCCCTAGTAGCGTCCTTGCTCCTAGTAGCGATGCCCTTTGCTCCTAGTAGCGTCTTGCTCCTAGTAGCGATGCCCTTTGCACCTAGTAGCTTCTTGTTCCTAGTAAGGCCAGGAGCCCCTAGTAGCGTCCTTGCTCCTAGTAGCGATGCCCTTTGCTCCTAGTAGCTTCTTGTTCCTAGTAAGGCCAGGAGCCCCTAGTAGTCCTTGCTCCTAGTAGCGATGCCCTTTGCTCCTAGTAGCGATGCCCTTTGCTCCTAGTAGTAAGGCCAGGAGCCCCTAGTAGCGTCCTTGCTCC